GCCACCCTCCATTGTCTGCTGGGGCGGCGGTGTGGGACAACCCCCCACATATTCACCAGGAACAAATACTTGGGTGTGTTGGCAATTGAGCAGGAGTTTCTATTGCCTGATTGGCTCCTAGTTTCTGTACATTGGAGCCTGTGGCCCTTCTCTAGGGGCCAATGGCCACCTATAGATTGTTATCCCCCTATATAATAGCAATAACAATATTGATGAGCGGTAAAAGCTTTTAAAGCGTCGCCCATGGCCCATTTTGGGTATTATCGTTTTTTCAGGTTTCGCACGTGCACGCAATTTTAAGGCTTGACATGTTTGGTGTCTTTTTACCCGACGTGACCCCGTCTTTTATATTTTACCAAAAAATTGGGTAATGTTTTTTATCATTTAATATAGGGGAAACCAGTTTGTTTTTGTTTTTTTATTTCGGTAATTTTTCCTTTAATATAGTAAAAAATACAATCCCCAGTGGTATTAAATACCACCAAAAGAAAGCTCTATCTGTCCCGAAAAAAATGGTATAAAATTAATTTCAGTACAGCGTTGCATGACGGAATAAACGTCAAAGTACCGCAGTGCTGAATACTGAAAAATGGCCTGGCCAGGAAGGGGGTGTAACACCGCGGATGTCAACTGGTTAATGAAGACTTCTACATAAAATATACTTCAGATGTCTCATTGCTGAGGTCAGACATAGGTAACCTGGGGTTGTGCTATGGGCAGCTGAGGTAAACAGACTGTCCCTGAGAGGAATCTGCCATGTTTCATGTATGATATGGGTAATGGAGGAGAGAAGTTTCATGTATGATGACGGGAATGGATGAGGAGAGAAGTTTAATGTGGGTAATAGGGAAGTGAAGTCGCCATATTTGACGTCTCCTCACTGGCCTGTTTGAACGGTATGGTTTTGGCGCTCTTCTGGCCGTCCCCTCCCCGTCACTCATTTAGCGCCTTTGTGCTAAATCGAGCGGGAAGGCAGAGCGGTGACGGGACAGAGCGCGGACTCCGGTACACGGTGAGCACAGCGGCCCCGGGCTCTCCTATCAGTCGGTGAGCACAGCGGGCGGGGTCCTCGTATCGGGCCGGGGGCTCTCCGATTCCCCCCCCCCCCCGTACGCTGGTGCAGGGAGGACTGTATAATACTACACAAGTTATACTGCAAGGTCACATCTGCTGCAAGATGCCGCCCAGATGACGGTGCTGTCCCCGGGGTGTCCTGAGCGGGAACTCTCCCACTACTCGGCTCATTCATATCCGGGGGGGGTCGTGTATGGGGGGCGTTTTACTTGCTGCGATGGTTGTAGCGGGACGGGAGATGATGGTGAGGTGAGCGAATGACAACCGTCATCTGCACTGGGCGAATGTCTGCTAGTCATAGCTCGCAAGTTAATTTGTACTAGTCCTCTGCATTTTGGTGAATGTTAATGATGTTCACCTGGTGAATGCTACCTAGGTATAGTCACCGGTTTGCACTGGGTGAATGTCTGATAGGGGTATTCACCTGTCTGCACTTGGTGAATGTTGGCTAGTCATGAACACCTGTGATCTGCACCTGGTGAATAGTACCTAGGCATATGTACCTGTTATCTGCACTGGGTGAATGCCTGATGGGGGTGACCACCTGTTTGCGCCTGGTGAATGTTAGCTAGTCGGCACCTGTTATATGCACTTGGTGAATGTTTGGCTAGTCATGGTCACCTGTAATCTGCACTGAGTGAATGTCTGGGCATATTTACCTGTTTGTAACTACCAGGCAATCATGACTAACAGACATTCATCTATCGTCTGTACGAGGTGAATGTTGGCTAGTCATGATAACCCATCGGCTGTACAAGATGAATGGCAGCTAGTCATGGCTGCCCATCGGCTGTACTAGGTGAATGTTGGCTGGCCATGGTCGCCCATAGTCTGTACGAGGGGAATGGCGGCTAGTCATGGTCGCCCATAGTCTGTACTAGGTGAATGTTGGCTGGCCATGGTCACCCATCGTCTGTACGAGGTGAATGGTGGCTAGTCATGGTCGCCCATAGTCTGTACTAGGTGAATGTTGGCTGGCATGGTCGCCCATAGTCTACTAGGTGAATGTTGGCTGGCCATGGTCACCCATAGTCTGTACTAGGTGAATGTTGGCTGGCCATGGTCGCCCATAGTCTGTACGAGGTGAATGGCGGCTAGTCATGGTCACCCATAGTCCTAGGTGATGGCGGCTAGTCATGGTCACTTGGAGTCTGTATACGAGTCGTAGGCTGTCTGCACGCACTACATTCTTGTACCACATGCTCCATTGCAGTGTACAGCGGGCGGGGGGTGCATTGGGGTGCCATTAAAATGAATGGTAACACGCTAGGTGCATTGTGACTGCATGTTTTATTCACACGGTACCTTGCAATTCACGCTTGGGTGTGAACGGGCCCTGGAGGCCAGATTGTACTCTGAGATTTCACATGTCTCGGAGACCTTCATCTCGGACTCTGTGGAGACACGATGACCCCCAGCATACCCCCCCAAGACGTCGTAGCTCAGAACCTCCATGATCCTTCTGTGACCTGTTTCCATATGAACTTCTATCAGGCGTATATCACGGTGGGCCCCGTCCTCCTCCTTCACGGCTCCGTGTGCTAAATCACACGTGTGGGTGACTTTCCCAGACAAGTACACACTGGTCCAGATTAAAGGGAGGAGGGGGTGGGGGAGCCGCAGGAGCCGAATGATCTCATATTCACAAACTTTAATTGAAATGTTCTTAATTGCTCGGCAACTGTTGGAATTCATTTGTGTTGAAGTGAAAAGTCTGGATGGGATTACCGGATCAAAGAACAAATCCGCCGTGATTGGTTTTAGTGTGCGACTCCCATGTTTGTGCCTCTCCATATGTATATTAAATGGGAAACCCACCAAGAGGGGGGAAATTGTATATTAAAATGGAATATATGGATCATAACTGTAGCAGTTGCCCATGGCAACCAATCGGCTTCTCTTCAGTTAAGCTTTGAAAATGAAAGAAGCTGATTGGTTGCCCTGGGCAACTGCTCCAGGGGATATATATCTATATCGTTGCAATGCAGTGTGTGGCTCTGGATGTTGTATCGGTCCTAGGAGCTGGGGAATGGACCGCTTTAACCTGACCGCTTCCTGCAAAGGGGGTAATAAACTATTGGAAAAATGAGAGCGTGTCGCTGATTTCAGTCCGGTGTATTTCGGGGGCTCACGGATCTCTGCATCAGGGCTTTTATGCTGGCAGTGATGTACAACAATACTAGACGGGTGGTTATGGGAAATGAGGATTATGTAATCTTTGCATGGGTTCCTTGTCAGACAGCCAATGCTGTGATCGGGCCTTCCCCTCCCCCATTCTATTTGGACAGCTGCACATGCGTCACTGTCAGAATACCCGAACAGTGACTGCAAATTACTGAAATTTGGTCAGTTTATGGCCAGCTTAGGCCTTGTTCACACCAAGCGTGGAGCAGATCCGGACCAGAGCAGGTGCAGACCGGATCAAAACTGCGTCCAATGTATTCCTATGGTATTTTGACCAGTTCACATCTCAGCGTGTGGATCCAGACCGGATGAAAAAAATGCGGCAAGCCCTATTTTACCTGCTCTGGATCTGGTCTGGAACGCATCTAAAACATCAAACGCATGCAAGTGCCTGAAAGCCCATGTTAAACTTATTTATTTACTTTTATTTATTTTTTAACCAAAACCGGCCCTAAACGCGTCTAAAACGCGGCACAACTCACTACACTGCGTGTGCAGAAACCTGACCGGATCTGGTCTGCATTTGGTGTGAACAAGGCCTTAAAGTAGCACTCCGGGCATTTGCTTTGGAAACCTTTTGGGGCCAAACTTGCAGCAGAGTAACTATTTTGGACCAGGATGACACAGAGCGCCCCTTGAAGGTCGTAGTGTTGGCGCTTTTTTTTTGTTCGTTCATGCCCTTGCTTGGGTGACGCTTCTAAATTTTAGTGACTAGCCACATGGGGACTTGTGCTGCGTTCTCTGTTCAGATGCAGCCGCTGTACACGATTCTGACCAGAACGCACTGCCTCGCATTGCGGCCGGCTCACTTTTTTTGTGGGGGTGTGGCGGTCCATTGAAGTGAATGGCACCGTAGCCACGCTCTCTGGCCGTATGGGATCACAAAGCTCATTAGGGGGAATTTGTCAAAACTGGAGCGGACAAAATCTAGAGCAGTTGCCCAGGGCAACCAATCAGCTTCTCTCTTCAGTTTGCTCAGGTAAGATTTGAAAATGAGACAGAAGCTGATTGGTTGCAGTGCAAATCTGCTCAAGATTTTGTCTGCTCCAGTTTAGATAAATTCGCCCCATTATGCCTGTGGTCCGGTCCGATCAAAATAGTGCTTGCAGCATTTTGACCGTACCGGTGGCATAATTTGCCTTGTGATCGCATTGCGGCAGGAGGGCGTGGCTAAGGTGCCATTCACTTCAATGGACCGCCACGCCCCCTCCTGCCCCACAAAAAGTGAGGCGGCTGCAATGCGAGGCAGTGCGTTCTGGCTAGAATCGGGCCGGAACGCACTGCCATCTGGCCTAGGCAAGAGTGAAAAAAAAAAACCTGCACCAGATGGCGGTTTGCAGATCTGCTCCAGAGACATGGTGTGAACATCGCCTGATGGCGCAAAAGAAAGGGGTAAGGTAACAGTCACCTGTGTTCTGCAGCGTGAAAGGTCCAGTATTAGGTTTTTAATTGTCTTATTAGCCCTGCTCCTTATTTATAGGATGTGCCCCATTTTTATGGCACTCGTCTATCTGTTCAGTTCCTGAAATTGCCTCTTGGCAAATTGCTGGGTTTGAGCCAAATGGTGGTTTAATAAAGAAAGTATACACCCAGTGTGACTGCAAGTGTCCCCTAAATTGCCATTATAAGGTTTTAGGATGTTGTGTGAATCCACATGGAGCATAGCGGTGTCTTGTGCGCGGCCTTCTCCGTTTTTTTTATTGATCTTTTACTAACCTTCTGCTTTTCTGTTTCATTTACAGAATGAAGAGTCTGACTTCGTCTTTGTTTTGTGCATCATGGAATTTTTCTCACCTCTAACCCACCAGAGCCAAAGGAACTCTAGAAAGTCCATTTCCATACGCAGTAAATAGCGAAGACTTTAGTCCGAGGACTCTCAGCCCCTTACTCAGTTTACTGCATATTTAATTTTATAGTAATTTATTGAATTATTTTCATACCTCACATTTTTTTCTGTTTACATATAAAGTATTTTATTTTTTATTTGATCATTGAGCCAAAAGTTAAATATGGAATCAACAACCGTTTTCAGTGTCTTTGCCAGTACGCTCGGCACCCAGTTGGGGGCCCCCATGACTGAATACCTTTGGATGCTGATTTTGGGTTTTATCATAGCCTTCGTGCTGGCTTTCTCGGTTGGTGCCAACGATGTAGCAAACTCCTTCGGCACGGCTGTGGGCTCTGGTGTGGTGACTCTCCGGCAAGCTTGCATCTTGGCATCCATCTTCGAAACCGTGGGCTCGGTTTTGCTGGGCGCGAAAGTTAGTGAAACCATCCGGAAAGGCCTGATTGACGTGAATATGTACAACACTTCAGAGCACCTGCTAATGGCTGGATCCATCAGTGCTATGTTTGGTAAGTTGGACTGAATGTTTCATTTTGGCTTGGCTTTTTAACCTGTATACTGCACATGTGACTTCTGAGACCTGTGATTTAAGTTCTAACACACAATTGAAGAATCAGACTTAACCTTGACTTTATTTCCAATGTCTTTCAGGTTCTGCTGTATGGCAGCTTGCTGCTTCCTTTCTGAAGCTACCGATCTCTGGAACGCACTGCATTGTTGGAGCCACCATCGGCTTCTCTCTGGTAGCTAAAGGGCAAGAAGGAGTCAAGTGGTCTGAGCTGCTTCGTATTGGTAAGTCTTCTCCAGTATTTCCAGGAAGGGAATTTGGCCCTAGATTTTGTAGTGAGGTGCAGCTTGTAGAATAGTCAGCTGAACGTTTTCTACAGTTCTTTGCAAAGTGCAAACATGCGTTATGACTGAGCTTAATAGCCAGCAATGGGGTCTGCACCTCCTGTTTAAACAAACACTAAACTCAGGTGTTAAATCTTTAAAAAACATTCTCATTTGTCTATTGCTCTGCTGTAAATCCAATCTCTGAATTGGTGCCGACACTGTCCTTCTGTAGGGTGGCTACTTCTGTTCCCCATGGTCCCTGTGTGTGTTGTAAAGTAGTCACCACTCCAAGCTTGCTCCCGTGATGGACTACAATCTCATGTTTAGTTTACTAATTTGTATTGAGATTGTAGTCCATCATGGTAGTGAGTTTGGAGCGGTGACTACTTTACAACACACACAGGGACCATGGGGAACAAAAGTAGCCCCCCTCCAGAAGGAAGGACAGTGTCAGCACCAATTCAGAGATATGAGGATCTACAGCCGAGTGATACACAAATAAGATACATTGCTGTTAATAGTTAAGGTACTTTTAAGATTTAACTCCTGAGTTTTTAGGGTCACTGTAATATTGGCCCTTAGCAACCTCGGAGGGCTGTGGACTTGTCTTGAGTTGACTGTTAATGTGTCACCCTGACAGCAAGTTATTGGGGATTACAGTCTGATGCATTCTGCTGCGGGGGTCTAAAATGACCTTTATTAGGCCTACCACTTGATGAGCTGATCCTTGTATTCCCCCCAGCAGTTAAAAATGAGTGCATGTTGGTAAGTTTCAGGCCAGTTCACACCTGCCACTGCACTAAACTCAGAGTCTGCGTTGCCCGCTAGTGCCGATGCACTGACCGGTTCTATGGGCACAGCTGGGTGCAAATCTGTTCTGTGTGGCATCTCACTGCAAGTACATGCATACTTTTTTTTTTGGGTCCGTGCTTGCCACCGCGTTGGTGTGAACGAAACCCAACTGACGAGGCAAATTGCCTTGTCTTGGGTTTTTGGGTGGGCTGCGCTGGAAATGGCCAGCACAGCCCCGATGCATAAGGTGTGAATCGGCCCTTAGGGATTAGGACAGGCAGCTGGATGTGGGAATGTTAAGCTTTTTGTTTCAAAAGTAAATCCTGAGCCATAGAACATGTAGCCTTGCAGATCTGTGAGTATGTGTTTTTAGATTGTAAGCTCTCTTGTGTTTTTGATTTGTATTGTAATGTTTCCTTGTATTGTACAGCGCAGCGCAAACTGTTGGCTCTGTAGAAATCCTGTGTAATGTATAGCCACCATCCACTGCAAAGCTTTTGAGGGCATGCTGGGGCAATAACAGTAGCATCCATACATGCAGAAATGATGAAGTGGGTCCTGCCCAAATAAGCTCACAATCCGTGGAAAAGGTCCTGGTAGATTTGTTCCCATTGCAGATGTACATTGTGGTGCATTGCTCATTGGGTTCAGTGATCTGTAAAAGCAGCGGGTGGCAGGTGGGGCTCTGGCAGTCCTCGGCAGTACCTCTGGCCTTTCTATTAAATAGTCCTGCTGTGTGACATAAGGTGCTGGTGGGTTTAATTGGTCAGTGGCTTATAAATAAGGTTTGCAGGACCAGTTGTAAGGTTGTTTTTTCTTTTTCTTTTTTTTTTCTTTTTTAATTTAACTTTGTTACTGAAGACAGACATTCCCTGAATGCATGGCAACATTCCTCCATCTGCTCCTCCTGCAGTGAATGTGACCCAGTCTGTTTCATTGGCTGTAATATCAGGCATATTGTGTGGTGTCTGCAGGTTGCCTTTTAAAGGAGAACTATGGGGTTAAGGCTTTTCCCCTTAGTTCTATTTAGGGTAACGGGAGGACACAAACTAGCGTCCTCCGTCACCCTAGGCTCAGTATACCGAAAGCTGTAGCTCGCGGTATACTGAGACGCCGCAGCGGATCCCGACAATTATGCTGGGATCCGCCCAGGCAGAGCCAGCTATACCCGCCCCCTCAGCGCTGGCAGGGAGGGGGGAATCCAGCCCGTCACGGCAGAGACCCATGACCGGATCGAGAGGTGAGCGAACGCCGGTATGTGTTCGCTCACCTCCCGATCTACTGAGCCGACCTGTGACAGTCTCATTGTCACAGGCCGGCTAGAACTATGAGGAGTGAAAAGCACTCATGTCATAGTTCTCTTAATTTCACGTTCCCCCTTTGCAGCTGTACACTTCTAAATGGTGGCTCGTCAGTCTATACATTTATTATCCCAATACAGAAATACAAGGCGGCTCTTCTTTTGATGCAGCTGGACATAAAAGGTCCAGGTGACAATTATTCAGCCATAATGGAAATGTACAAAGAACAAAGCATTCGGCTTACATTGCCTGTTCTTCCCAGCCCTGAAAGGAAAGCCTGCTTTGATTTGTAATACAATGTAAAGCAGATAGTTACTGTGTAATTGGGTGTAAACTAAAAATATGTAACATTATCTAATCGCGTGCGGCCACATTAGTTTTATGGGAACATATTTTGCACTCTAATCTCTATTTGTCTGGCTTTTATATTTCTTGTCCTTTTTGTTTCTTCTTCACTTTCCATTCAGTGACCTTCAAGATGCATAAATTTAACGTTTTGCTGTCCTTGTTTTCTTTGAATCAAGCAAGGACAGTCCTACATTATGGAAAGCCGGGTCTAAACAGAAGTGGGTGTCTGTTTACATCCGGTTGTCCCCCGGCTCTGGCCAGGTCTGGAAAAACTGAACGGATCCATTTCGCCAAACACCTAATTGTGCCGGATATGTGGTAATCTGATGTAAACTGATGCATGTCAGCTTACATCAGACTTCTCCATAGACCTACATGGGGTCCAGTCATTTCATTTTTTTCGCAAGATGGAGGGAAAAAAAACTGGATGGACACGGGCGTGATATCCAACCTGTACCGCTCTGATCCGGAGACAATCCATGCACAGATCCCTTCCTGACCAGATGGGGTGAAAGGGATTTGCTAAAACGTGACAGTTTCCTTCAATAGTGCGAGTTGCAGCCAATACTGTAGGAGGATTGTTAAATCCTTGACAAGGAAACAGTGACTGTAACGCACGTTGTGTTATGGTGCCTTCATTTTGCATAGCTCTGATGTACTGACATTGCGGTGCACAGTGATATAATACCGTGCTTTGAGGGGTGCTCTAGGTCAGAAAAAATGTTGCATTTTATTTTTGATCTGTTCTTGTGCTTTGTCAGACTGTTGTAGCCTGACCACGTTATAAAATGTTACTATTGCATTTTGTACTAATTACTCGTGTGCTTTCTCCTTCTAGTGCTGTCCTGGTTTATCTCTCCGCTGCTATCTGGAATCATGTCTGCTCTTCTCTTCTTCTTTGTGAGAATGTTCATCCTGCGCAAGGTAAGACCGAGCCCGTCTGACCAGTTTTTTTTGTGTTTTTTTTTTCACAGGTTTCTAGAGTTCTAAGGGGGAAAAAAATGTATATACCCGCAGTCATTGTTTTAAGTACATCGTTCAGTTAGAACCCACTTTTTCGATTGTCCTTTCCTGCCACCTTCAACCCTCTGACATACACCCTATAATTTGGGTATGGGGGAGCATGGAACATTCTCCATGTATGTGTCATTGAGGTCAGTGCACCCCTAGTTCTATAATTTGAGTCGAGCTTAGCGTAGGTTTGGTTATTGGAGCTCTCTTCTAATGTGTAAATGTTTAAGACTCTTCAGCTGATTACACATAACTGATCAGGATTCCAAACCGTCTAAGGGGAATTTATCTCTAGTACCAAGGTTGCCTACCCCTGACACAGCACATTTTAGCTTTAAATATGTTTTATTAAAGTTATGCCAACACTTTATTAGGGGCAATGCCATGTTCCAATTAGTGGTGTCCCACTGGAGGCCACAGCTTCTTTCCTGAAAGATTTATTCTATGCAGCCTCTGCCAATGACAACGCAGCAGCGAAAGACAGGGCTGGAGCACAGCCAGTCATTTGTTTTCCATTCAGAATACCTCTTGCATTCTTTTCGAAGGACACAAGGCATTATTTGGTTGCCATGCACAACTGCCCCAGATTTTGTCTGCTCCAGTTTTGATAAATTCCCCCCCTGTCTTTTAGGAAAATAAAACTGCCTTTTGGTTCTCCATCTTGTCTGCATGGAGATCCAGTTATCAGATTTCATGGCGAAAAGGCATGTGAATGATCTGTTTACGCTGTCCTAGTACACGTTCATTCTGTATGCCGAGAACTAAACTGCTTCAGTATGTCTGCAATACATGATTCTACAGTATTGAGTATAATGGAGATCTATTGATAGATGGCTGTGTAAAGGGAAGTGGAGACATTTTCTGTAGAATTGTATTTTTTTTTCCCTTACTGGTCGTAGACTGGCAAATGTTTTCCTAACCGGTTGGAGAGATGGTCTATTCCTGCGCTATGCAGTGGGATTTGGTCTATTCCTGAGCTGTGGAGTGGGATTTGGTATTTATCTTGCAATGTGCCAGAGAGGGAGCGTTGCCCATTCCACCCACCTTTCCCCTTTCAGTGAGGATCAGCCTTGTTGAATCTGAGCAGAAGTGTTTTCGTTACCCTCTTGGTGATGCCCGGCCAGGCTCACTCCCAAGGGTCACATTGCTCTGTTGCTTTAAGGGCAGAATTTTTGGTAAATTGCCACACTCCAATGATTGGCTGAGGGTCGGGTCTAAGTTACAGCCTTGCTCTGCATGGGCCTACCTGCTGGAAATTTGGGTAATATATCCTCCATTCCACAAAACAGATCAGAATGACCCGCACGAAATCCCACCCTGTGTGGGCTGCATTAGTTGTAGAGCTAATCCTATTACTACACCACAGGGTTATTGATGATGGAAAGTTTCCCATTCAGTCTGATGGCTGTGGAACTTCTCTGAGAGGGAGCAATGTTATGTTGCTGCTGTCAGTATTTGGGTTTAGCCATGTACAGAGCTGTGTTTTGTCACCATACAGCTGGCAATTAATGTGTACATAAACCATAAAAAAAAGACGAGTGTCTGGGACTTGGTACGACGGCTCTCCAGCTGGCACCACACTGTGAGCTGCAGTACGTTGTGACTTCTGTACTGTTACATTTCTGATGAGCCTTTTATTTTGGTCTGCTGGACCATTGTGTATTTAAAAAAAGAAAAATGTACTAGTCCCCTTCTGGTCGTCATTCCTGCTTAATGATTGGTTAGAAGTTCAGGTGTCTTTATGGTACCCACAGAGGGCACGTTCACACTGAGTGCCTCTCTTGGTCTGGTAGGCGACTGCTGGCATAAAACACGCTTGTTGTGGCATCTCAATAATTTAGTGCAGGGGTGGGCAAACTCCGGCCCTCCAGCTGTTGAACTATAAATCCCATGAGGCTTTGCAAGATTCTCACAGGCATGACTCCCAGACACAGATCCATGATGGGATTTAGGCCCCGTTCACATGTAGCGAATTATCGCGTGATTTCCGCCGCGATATCGCGCATTTTTGCCGCGAGAAGTCGCCGGCCAATGCTATTCAATGGAGCTGTCTTAACTCCATGTCGCTCGTCGCGGTCGCAAGTCGCTTCTACCGGACCCTTTTTTCGGCGGATTTTGCGCAATTTTGCCTTTTTTCTATGGAGCCCGACGGAGAAGGTCGCGCTACCGTCGCTGGATTGTCGCCCCGAAAGTCGCGCTATCCCGGCCGTGCGGATCCGCTGCAAAAGGTATGTCGCTACGTGTGAATGGGGTCTTAGTGTCACCACAGCTGGAGGTCCGGAGTTTGCCCACCCCTGCTTTAGTGCTTGGAGATTCAGATTTGCTTGCAATCGCTTAAAATGGCACTCCAGCAAAAAAACAAAAATAGTGTCTGGTGCTCCTGATTTGGATGCCGCTGTCAGGATACAGGAACAGCGACTGCAGCAGCTCAGCAAAACATTTCTGGCCTTGGTCCTTCAACAAAAGATGAGCTGGGAGGACCTCACGCTGTAAATTTTGGTGCATTCCTGTGAATCGGCTGAAATTAAGTGCATGACCACCCTTAGAATTGCAGATGGATGGATAGATATTTCTCCTCCGTTCCTGCAAAACTAAAGCTAACCTAAAATGTTGGACACTAGAACAAATTTATCTGAAACTCCTACATGGACTTTAATATCAGAAAATGTCCCTTACAATACAAGCACTGGTACTAAGTTTTCAATCAAAAGTCTGAGTGAGCAACTTGCACTCTTAAAAGCTTCTAAAGTTGTTTAATTTTAGTTCTCCTCTATCAAGTCAGCCCACAGTTTTTGTAATCTTGCCTACTGCTTTATACATGGGCAGAACTTGGTTGGGCTGGGTCAGGAAGCCACAACCAATCTCTTTCTAGAAGACTTGGTGAAATATTTGAGTGGTTGTTTTGGGGGATACGGCTGTTCTTCAAAACAATGAACTGAATTCATCCTTACTTTATGATCAGTGATGACCGTTTCCTTTTAGGTGATTTGCTCTCAATAGATGAAGTCTGAAAAAGTACTTTAAGCAGAGACGGTGTTGTAGTTGAGATCCATCTGTGTTCTCTGTTCTTTATATGGGCCTGTGTGTGTTTTCTGAGGCTGCTGAGCCGCCAGTGAGGAGACCTCTCGTCTTCCATCACTGTTCCTCATTATGTAAAATCCTTCATGACCATGAGAGGGCACAAAACAGAGTCCCGAACACCGTAGCCATACATAACGCTTATGACATGACCAAGTTCAACATCACCTGGATAATCCAATAATGCAGTTGTGTCTGAGACTTATGACAGATAATCACTGTGTTGGGGTTTGTTTTATGTATTGTACATGACGCAAGGTACTTGGAGCTTATTTTTAAAAGCTCTTTAGTTACATTGCTGCTGGTGAAGTAATTCCATGTTGTGCAAAGAACTGTATTGCCGTAGACCTGCCACTTAGAACATAGAGCATTACAGGTATTTGTACAGTGCCAGCAATTTACATAGTTGCACATTCCCATCAGTCCCTGCCCTTGAGCTTACATTCTAAGGTCCCTACCTTGCATACATCTGAGGGCCAATTTTAGACAGGAGCCAACTAACCTTTGTGCTTGTGTGGGTTTCCTCCTGGTATTCCAGTTTCCTCCCACACTCCATAGATTAGGAGTTTGCATGTTGTGCCTGACTGGGATTTGAACCAGGGACCCCCAGTCCTGCTTTGTTTTGCAGTAGATAAGAGAAGACCTCACAGGTTTAGGCATCCATGAGATGTGAGCACTCGTACTGCTGTTTAAAACAAGCAACTTAGATTCTGTACATTAGCATTCACATCTCAATTGCCAGTCCTCCCTTACACGTCAGTAGGAATACAGATGACTCCCAATGCCACATATGCCAATCTACACACACACACACACACACACACACACACACACACACACACACACACACACACACACACACACACACACACTATATTGGCAGAGGTGCGTCACAAACACCGTG